TTTTGTGGACGTGATTTGAGATCATTTGATACAATTCATGGGAAGGCTTTGTTGATTGTTGCCAATATTTTGCCAAAATTGGTTCAATATATGGAAATATTGATGTTAAAAGCATCATTCCAAATCCTACGACAATTTCTAGAAATTTAGTAGATACTGCTGATGGTATCCGCAATAAATTATTTCCTATATTAAACTCATATATGAAAAAGGGTCGATGTGCTGGTAACAAATTTATGAAAATATGGTTAAATTATTAATAATTTTTTATAGCCACCACAGACCTTTGGACTGATGATTATAAAAAAATATCATATGTAACTCTAACAATTCATTTTATAAATGATTCCTGGAAACTAAATAAAATTGTATTGTTTACATGCAAATTTGAAGAGGAAAAAAAGACAGGGGAAAATATCAAAAAGGAAATTATAGAAATTTCACCTTGTTAGGTATTGATTTCATTAAAAATATTTATAAAAATCCATGTATTCTTTGTTTCAGGATACAGCAGGGCCTATTTATCGGAAATTCTAATTATTACTGACCAAGGAGCTAATATGATTAAAGCTTTTGAAAATCATAAGCGTTTAAATTGTGCTTCTCATCTATTAAATACAGTATTGAGAAATACTTTTGATAACAAAAATATTGAATCTTGTTCGGAGATAAATCAATGTTTTAATGACTGTAAAAGTTTAGTAACGTATATGAAACAGAGTGGGTATGTTAATTTAACTTTTTATTAAAATATATCATTACATTTTAGATTAGTTAATCGCCTCGATAAAACTCTCCACATTTGTGTTGAGACTAGGTGGAATAGTAGGTTGAATATGATTGAATCGATCTTTAGTCAATTTAATGACATATTGGAAATCCTCAATTCCAGAGGAGTCGATTAGACTTGAAAATATTGATTTTGAAATGATGAGGGATCTGATCAAGTTTCTGACGCCTTTTAAAATTGCGAGTGATGAACTTGAGAGTGATTTAAAACCTACTATTCACAAAGTTATTTTATGTTATCATAAAATATTGAGTTTTTTAGCTAATCCTAGCTTAAACTATCAGCTAAACCAACTTTCATTAAGATGCCGGGAAATATTGGTGGATAAATTTAAAATAGATTTATTCCACCAAATTTCGACGTTTTTGTGCCCAAAATTTCGGGATATGAAAATGTTATCCCGGGAACATTATAAAGATTTGTGTCAACATATCAACACGTTGATTAATGCAGAGAAAATCAACAGATGTGATTGAGCAAAAGTCTTAAACAACTCACCATCTAACTCGTGCTCAACCGATAGAGTAGTAAATAAAGGTTTATTAAATTAATAATAAAATTATTTATTAAAAAAATAATAAAGTAAATATATATCTTAATATTATTAATGAATATTTTTTTCTTAAGAAAATACAGAGGTGGTAGATACGTTTTTGGACTTCTCTTTATGGGAGGCTGACAATGCGTATTCTGATGCTAGCGCCGAAGTTGACGAGCTAAAAAAATACCTAGATCCGAAATTATGTATTGATGACGATAATATTTTAAAATGGTGGAAAACAAACCATTATGAGTTTCCAAATTTAAGTATTTTAGCTCTTAAATTCCTGGCTATCCCTGCTTCGTCGGCTAGCAGTGAAAGGGCGTTTTCAGCTGCTGGTAGGGCCTTTGAGGAGAGAAGGACTCGTTTAAAGCCAGATAAACTGGACGCCTCTTTATTTATATCAGAGACCTGCAGGCCCGGCCCTAAACTCGGCCCGGCCGGGGCAGGGCCGTATATTAAATTTTTTAAATATACCCGGGCCGGGCCTAAAAAAATTTTTTTTAAACATATCCGGGCCGGGCCTAATTTTTTTTAAATATATCCGGGCCGGGTCGGGTTTAAGATTGTTGAACCCGGGCCGGGCTTAATATTTTTTATAAAAATTTTTACATTATGAGTTAATGGTTATAAGATTATATTATAGTTATGATTAATATAATATTGGGTGATGGTTAACACAACCTAACAACCCACAGATCGATCTAATTATTAATTTCCTGCAAATTTATTCAAAGTATTAATATATTTTTTTATAATTCATATCTAAATTTTTACAACATATTTTACCAAAACAATCAAATAAAGGAATATCTTAAATAAGTCCCAATATTCAAGTATTATTAATATATTTTTTTATAATTCATATCTAAATTTTTAGAATATATTTTACCAAAACAATCAAATAAAGGATTATCACTTCTTAAAGTTTGTAATTGATTTTACTTAATATAAAGCATTTTTTAATTGAAAAATTTGTTTTACACAAGTATTTTATTTCTCTTTTTTTCTGTCCCAAATTCAAGCAATTACGTATGTAGTCAGGGACAGATCGCAAAATGACGGAAAACTATATAAAAGATTATATAAAATTACAAGAGGCTTAGGAAGTAAATGAAATACCATAGACCAGTCAAATTACTACTGTTGTTAAACAAACTGAATCGTTTTATGATAAATGGGGCGATGGTAATTCTGGTAATATCAATACCCGATGATGAATATTATAATTACATAAATAAAAAAATAGATGAAACATTTAAGGTGGATAATTTGTTAGAGTGGTGGGCGGCTCATCAAAGTGAATTTCCAATTTTAGCAAAATTGGCAAAACGGGTATTAGCAATTCCTGCTTCATGTGCAAGCTGTGAGCGGAATTTTTCCACTACTGGGAGAATTCTTGAAGAAATAAGAAGTAATCTTCAACCTGAAAAGGTAGATATGCTTCTCTTTCTTCATGATAATTTGTGAATTTTTAATATCTTTCTTGAGTATAGGGTTTCGTCAATCATGCTGATTTTTTACTTTGCAAACTGTCAAATATTTATTGCATTTGTTATATTTACATTGAGTCATGAAAGTTTTTAATCCAACATTTTTCATTATTTTTTTTTACAATATTATATAATACAATTATCTTCTTTTGTTAAAAATTTATATTATAAAATAAATTATATTAATATTGTGCAATTAGATTATATTTTCAAAATACTATTTATTATACATGCATTTTTTTAAATAGCGATTTATTTTTATTTTATAAATTAAATAGTAAATTAAATACAATATATTATATTCTCAAAATATTTCCCATTTTTATAAATTAAATATTAGTTTTATTTTTTTTAAATGTAATATAAAATATACTATATGACAAATATTATTACCATTTTTATGAATATTAGTTTTATTTTTATGCTCAAAATATCCATTTTTATAAATAACAGTTTTATAATTTTTATAAATTCAATATAATATTCTCAAAATATTAGCTTTTTACATGCATTTTTTAAATAATAAGCGATATTACTCGCTGGAAAATATGGTAAAATACCTCATAAGTGAATTTTTGTATACACCAGGTCGAATATAATTTTAAAAAATTCCGAGCCGGGCCTGAAATTTTTAAATCCGGCCGGGCCGTAAAAAATTTTTTTTAAATATCCGGGCCGGGCCTAAAAAATTTAAAACCGGCCGGGCCGTGCAAATGGTACCTCTGCAGGTCTCTGATTTATATATCATAATTATTCACGCTGTGATAATTTTGATAATGATATTGATGAGGTCAATATAATATAATATGTTCATTATATTTTTTATATATTTATTAACTTTTATATCATATCTATATTCGCATAAATGATGCTTATTGTATTATATAATCGTTATAATTTTTAAATTCGCTTGTATATTAATCGTTTTATAATATTTTTTACAAATTTAATAAAATGCAACTTAATATATATCTTGAATAGATTATGGCCGTCAAATAAACTTTTATTTAAGGTGGCTGAACTGAATTACACATAAATTTTTTTTTGGTTATTATAATATTAAAACTTAAATTGCAAAATTTTATTCGGGTCGGGCTCGGGTCGGGTTGGACTAAAAAATGTGTGCTCGGGCTCGGGTCGGGCTCGGACAAAAAAATTTTAAATTCGGGCTCGGGTTGCGAAAAAATTACTTTGCAGTTCTCTAATTAGTAGTATTAAATGAATTTTTCATTATTCCTCCTCGTGAAATTAGAATTCCGCAGATAGCGCATTTTGCAAAATTATCTGTCTTTTGTAAAATATTTCCATAATTCAGACACCATATTTATAAAAATTCTTTATTCAAAGTATAAATAATAAAATTGGCGTTATTAATTAAAAAGATTTAAAATAAATAAAACTTTGGGTGTTCCTTTCTGTTTTTATAAAAAACTTTTAAAATACTATAAATCTATATAAAATTTATGGGGTTTTGTGCATTGTTTAAAAAAATATATATTTAGAAAATATCATTAATGCAAAATATATATATAAAATCTAAAAAAAGAAAAGTAAAAAAATCGGATCGGGTTTGTATAGGTATCGGCCCGATCCGATATTTTTGGAAACGATGATAATCGGTGCCGATACGATATTTAATATCGGCACAGCCCTATTAAATACCTAGGTAAAGGTAATCCATTTGAAGAAAGTTGTACAAATAAAAAAAATGTGAACTAAGAGAATATTCCAAATGAATGAATGTATCCAAGCTATATGATTATTTATAAGAAAAATTAGAACCCTAACCTTAATTTACTGATTTTTAAAAATATTTAAAAAATTGGAAACTTTGGAAATATCCCCTTTCAATAAATTCCCAGGGATTATGCCTGGGCTTTACATTCCTAGGTTCATACGACGCAAAAACCACCCCAAAATAAATATAAATTTTAAATAAAACCTCATAAAATAGGAAAATTTTGTATTTTACTCATTTCATAACCTGGGTTCGATACTCGCCTTAAATCCATACTATTTAATTTAATATTCTGAAAAAAAAATTATTAAAAATTTATTACAACAAAATATTATCATATATTTATAATAAAAAATTTTCAAAAAAGTCAAATTCGTATTTATTACATGAAAAATTAATTTAGACAAATTGTAATGCCAAATTATTTTATTCTGTAATGACAAATTTATAAAAACAATCGGAGGCAACATCAATCATAAGTCAAGTAACCAATGTTATCCAGGGTAATATATATGAGACATGGAAGTTTTTTCGAATCCCTAAAAGAATAGTAACCTAGTATTTTTTTTAAAAAAAAATTAAGTTTATGAAATTTACATTAGACATACCAAATGAAAAAGCTCTGACATCTTGGTTAAATTGATGGACAGTGATATTATTTGGTGGATCTAAAATGTATGTGTTTCCCTGCCAAGAAGAAAAAATGAATTGATCATGATCTCTATCTAATAAATTTAATTTCCCTAATCCAAACAAAGAGTCTTTAAGATTGAGGGAATATACAACACTATCTTTGAGTAGAACATAAAGTTTACCTAGTTTCAAAAAAATATGAGATTGTATGTAAATTCTTAGAAACTAAAATAGATAATAAAACTATTATATATCAAATAGAAGTCATCCATATTTGTATCCAGGATTTTGCAAAAGGTGGGGGGGGGGGGTCTATTAGATGGGGTTTTTGGTAACTCACTGAATCACGGGGAAATTTTTAACATTAATTTTTAAAAAAAAATTTTTGTTTGGTCTGGTAGAATGAAGTCATATATTTTAACAATTTAGCTATAAATTGTCTAATTTGGTATTTTAATAATTTGAGCGATACAATTTTATAAAATTATAATAACTGAAAACAATATTATATATAAGAGTATCAATTAAATTATATTTAATTTTATGGGTCATTCAATTTCAACGATTTTAAACCCAACGATGCCCAGATTAAACAAGTGCTTACTTTTAAATCTATAACTATTTCTTTTTTGAATTAACCTTTTTCCACAAATTTTTTTTTATTCTTTAACTATTTAATTGTTTGTAATTTATGCGCAATACAATTTTAATAAAATTATAATAAATGAAAACAATATTATATATATATATGAGTATCAATTAAATTATATTTAATTTTATGGGTCATTCAATTTCAAACCCAACAAAGCCCCAAATTAAACAAGTGCTTACTTTTAATTTATAAATCTAAAAATAACTATTTCTTCACTGAAATATCAACCTTTTTCACAAAAAAAAATTTATTCTAAAAAATTGATTAATAAATAATTTAGTATTTGATAATAGTCCTAACTTAATAGCTTCATAGAACACATCTTGTTTTTATTGTGAAATTAAAGAATTATGAAAATTTTCACAAGTTTTTTTAAATATACTCCGTTTTATTGTAAAATTAATTTTTTATGATAAAAATTTCCACCAAAATGCAGATGATCATTTATTTATTATTTTATATAAAAAAAATATAATATCAAAAATTTCCCCATGATTCAGTGAGTAACCGGTTTTTTTTATTAGAGGTCCTTAGGCCCACTTATTGTATGGCTTTGGCTATATATTATATTTTTAAGAGGACATCTCAGCACCATTGCATTTAAATAATAGGCTCTTAAGAGAGCAGCCAAAAGTGATCACAAAATTAAGATATATTTTTTAACTATAATAAAATATCAATGAGTAAAATGTCTATAATTTACCATCTATAGTTATTAAAGCAGAATATGAGTGTTTCACATCTTGTAAATTTATTATTAAGCTTCCACATATTTCAGTTGATGAATTGGAGCTTTCTTGAGGTTGTGATGGTGTTATAGTTATATATTCCACTGGCATATTATTATTGGGAGAAATGTCTATATAAATTAAAATATTTAAATGTTCTTTAAAAAACTTTTACCAGGATGCTGAAAGTTTGAGAAGTATTCTAAATTATCATTGTTCAATTGTTCTTGTGTGGGCAAAATCACATAGGAATTTTTAGGCTGTGAGCAAAGTAACCTCAAAGTTTTATACTTATCTTCTATTTTTCCCAAAAAACCTGTATTAAAGTCATACGACAAATTCCCTATCTGTTTTATGAGTTCCCATTTATGATAAGCTATAAATTTTCCTTTTAAATTTTGTGTTGAGATTTGGAGGTCATTTTTAACTTGTGCATCAAAAACCCATTTAAAAGATCTTAATTAATATATTTAAGATTAATATACCATACAGGTTCTATAATTTTAAAAGGACATCATCAATAGATATAAAAATAATACCTAACTATTCTATCAGTCAAACCTATAACAACTTCATCAAGTCCATCACCATCAAAATCAATTAAGATACCTGTTTTTGTGTTAGCAGGTATATGCTGACTATATATTGGCATCAGAGTAATTTTAGTTTTTAGAGGACTTAAAAATTAAATTAATAATTTAATAACTAATCAAATCTATACTCATTTTTTAAATATGGAACTTCAATAATGTGAATTTTACCTTTACCAGATATAACAAGCAAATTATTATAATCTTTTAAATAAATTTTTCCACATAATACATTAGTTATCATGCCTAAATTGTATATAGATACAACCTTTTGGCAATTAGAACCTTTGTATATTGATACCTTGCCTTCTAAGATACCAATTATCAATTCATTATTCTATATTTTAAAGATGTAATAAATCATTTTATTATTTACATTGTCATTATCTACATCATCAAATATGATAGAAGAATTATTTGTTGTACCATATAGAGGCAACTCAATTTGATTTTGAAAATATTTTTTTTGATGCATATATCACTACTTTAATATTTGATTGTAGTAATATATAATAAGACAAAATATATAATTATATTAATTCCTGAATGAATTTAGCAGCTTCATATATAAATTTACAAATTAGACTCTACTCTAGATAAATATAAAAAATATAGGTGTGTTTATAGCAATGACATAAAGTAATTAATTGATTTATAACATAAGGTGAGCAACATCTTTTGGAGAGAGTATTAATAATTTTTAGAAAATAAGTTTAATTTTTTAAAATCTAGATTAATAAGCTGTCATTAGAAAATAAAGTGACAGTCAATTAGAGTTTGGAGATAAAAAATATAATTTAATATATCTTATCTTATCTTATCTAGCACGTTGGTCATGGGCCTGCCCAAAATGAGCGAACGTAAATTACTATAGAGGCCCTATCCTCCATAATAATTATGCCGATTTTTTCCTCAAGGATACCAACAAACCTTGTAACCCAGATATAATTATTAAGAGGAGTGGAACTCACCCAATCCAATAATAATAATAGTGTAGGGAATAAGATTATGAGCATATTTAAAAGGAAAAAATAGTAGTACTGTATCATCCAATACAAATTATTAGTCATTAGTTAATTATCTAAAATTATTTTTTTATAGTTAGTCTTAATTTTTATTATGATTATTAAATTTTATTTAGTTTATTTACGATTTGTTCCCTATTTAGTTAGAAGATATAATTATATTTAATTTTTATAATTATTTAGTTAAAAATATCTATCTATTTAATCTATTAGACCTAAATCTCATAATGTAATGTAATCTATTAGAAATTATCTTACAATGTGCACTAATTTAATCTGCCTTCATTTATAGCCCTATTCAAATAACTTCAACTCTTAGATATATATAATATATGAAATTGTATTTTTAAGTAATAAAATAAAATAACTTTACTTACTCAACTTTACTTGTTATATATCAAAGTAATATATGGAATTGTATTTTTAAATAATAAACTAAACTAAATTTAATTTAATCATCTTTACTTGTTACATTCTCATCAGTTATTCGTCAAGTGTTCGTAAATAAGTCTTAATACGATTTTGTAAGTTTTTCTATCTAACGAAGCACGTTTTATGAATTCCCAAGATAGATCTATGTCCGATAATGATCGATTTATTCTACCAAACCAACTATTTTTGTAGGATAGGAAAGGTTTGAGAGATAATTCTTCCAAAGGGGTAATAAAAAGGGCTTGATATACTAGGTTGTTTGGGGCTTGTCTGAGAATGTGCCCTAATATTTCGATTTTCCTATATTCACATAGTCTATATATAGGGAGAATGTCACATCTGGACCAAAGATTATGATTCGAAGTATTATACGGGTAGAAAGTTTTGGTAATATATCTAAGACATTTGTTAATGAACGTTTGCATCTTTTTACTTTCTTGTTTGGTATCTTTTCAAGTTTCTATACCATAGATTAGGGAGGGGAATATTAAAGTTTTAAATAATCGAATCTTTAACGGAATTGATAATTGATTCGAACTCCATATTTTCATAAAAGATCTATATTTCAGTCTGCCTTTATTTATTTTAGCTATTAGGTCTAGTTTAGTATTTCCTTTTCTATCCAGTATCACTCTTAGATATTTTAATTGTTGAACTTCTGCTATTTTTCTCCCTTGTATCGTTAGATTCATGTTTGGAGGGGAGAATATTGATGTCATCAACTTTGTTTTATCAATATTTATTTTTAAACCAAAAAAATCAGCAACTTGGGTCATCATGTCCACTAGCAATTGGAGGTGTGATATAGAATCTCCTATAATGCAAATATCATCGGCAAAAGCAAGAATATTTAATTTCACGACGGGAATCTGAGCTAAACATTGTTTAGTCACTCTTTTTATGATATAGTTTGTAATAAAATTAAAAAGAAGAGGAGAAAGGACACATCCCTGTTTCAAACCTATCTTAACTGGTATTTTTGTTGATTTATGACCCGCATGGATAATTTGTATCGAGTAATCATTATAGATATTTTTTAATATTTTTACCAAAGAGGTTGGAGTATTAACTTCTTCTAATGCTATCCATAACCTATCATGAATAATCGTATCAAAAGCTTTCCTAAAATCAAGAGCTATAATTATTAATTGCCTTTTTCGTATTATAGATTTCTCTATTTGTATCTTTAAGTTGAGAATAGCTTCAAGAGCATTATGTCCCTTTCTAAATGAAACTATTGAATCCACATAATCTCGTTCTATAAAAGGTTTGAGTCGATTTAGGATTATGTTAGTGAAAATCTTATAAATTATAGAATTTAGTGAGATTCCTCTCCAATCCTCTAGAGTTTTAGGGTACTTAGTTTTTGGAAAATTAATTAGGGTAGCCGATAGCCAATCACTAGGGCAGATCCCTTCCTTCCATACTCTCGATATGATAGGGAATAGTATATCGGCGGATAATATAGGGTCCGTTTTTAAATATTCACTACGAATATTATCTTGACCACACGCCTTGTGATTTTTTAGTTTCTTTATTATATTTATTATTTCACTCTTGATAGGATCTATGATTCTATCTGTATTTTGGAATAAGGTAGAGAGGGAAGAATGTGTAGATAAAGATGTAGTATTATGAGTATTATCTTGTGGGAGAAATAATTGTGGGGGCCAGAGGTATGAAGTGGATGGACCATGATGAATGGAAGACTCACTTTGGTTTGGTAAATGTAATAATTTAGATAATAAATGATTTGCCTAACTTTGATCGGAAAGTCATTTGATCGTAAATTTGGTCCATTTTTTTCTGATTGGTCTATTTAATCGCGGTAAATTAAAATCATTTAAAAACATTATGCTTAATACTGTAGCTGATAATTTAAGACTATTTGCTAAAAGAAGAAATGAATACCCTAACCCTAACCCTAACCATAACCCTAACTTTAACCTATTAATTCATATGAATGAAAAAATCGTTTTGACCTAAAATGGACCAAATGGAAATGGACCATTTTACGATCAAAATAATACGATCAAAATAATACGATCAAAGGAGGCCCTCCCAAATAAATAATACCATATATTTTTAACACATTTTATTAGACATGTTTAATAATAGATTTTGAAAAAATAAATAAATTTTATAAAAAAAATTTCTTGGTTATTGCCGCTTATTATTATTTTTTATGTTATTTTTTTTTAAAATTAATATATCAATTTTATTTAATATATTTTTAAAATGTTTTTTCTATAAATTTTTGTTTTGAGATATTTTAAAAAAGTTTTTCCTATAAAATTTTGTAATAGGGGTAAAATATAGGAATTCTTAATTCCCCAGCGTTTATATATAAAAGAGGGAGAGGGGGGAGGTTGTAGGAGAATTTTGCCTATAAAATTTTTAAAATTCATTATTTATATATAAGATTCCTTTCATACAAACTTCCACCTTTAAAGTTTAAGTGATTTTTTAACCTTCGGTAATGAATGGTTAAATCGAAATAATTCAAAATCGGAAGGGGGGGGGGAAGAGGGAAGGGGTTTAAGTAAATATATTTTAAACTTGTAGCCTGACCTAAAATATTTATTTTTACAAAACCCTAGAGCCGATAATAAATTTTTATTTTTTAAATTTAATTAAACTTATCAGTTGGAAAATGATTCTATTATTTACCATACTGCTTATATTGTCAATTTCACTTTCACACAAAAAAAATTATTATGAATAACGAAATTTAAAGAAAGATGCTCAAGCTAGGCTAAGAAAATTTGAGCTTAGCAGGATTTGAAGGTTAAAAAAAAATTAAAGCATGGCCGATCTTAAAATTTTGACCTTTCCAAGTTTCTATTCTCATATTGAAATAGTGGATAAACTCTCATTATATAAATTTTTTTTTTGCTATATAACGATTTTAATGTAAAACCCAGATTCATGGAATAAATATTTTTAGCCTATAATAAAATGAACTTAAGTATCAAAATTAAATTGACCCAGGTATTTTCCCCAAAGAATAAATATCATAAATTATTCATATAAATCAATAGTTTTCTGTGACATGTTAAAAAAAGGAATCCAGAAAATATTTTATGGCTTGCCTAAATTTAAAGGCACAGAACACGCTATTTAACCTTTCCCACACCAGATGCTTTTTGTATAAATGTTCTTATATTTTGCTTTACCAAATTAATAACCCATTTTTTTTAATTTAAAAAATTACATTTTTTATTTTATGTAAATAAATTTCTTTAATCAATTATCAGTATTACTATATTATGTACAAATAAAAAAAAACCTTCATACAATATAAAAGTATATTTTCTTAAACAAATTATTTGAATCTAACATAGGTACCAATATAAGAAGCACAATGTGGGCAGAAGTGTTGTATGTCATGTGTATCCGTTATACAAAAAGGTATTAAACCGCACAGACTAGTACAGCCTACGAATGGACATATTATGCAAAATGGAATTGACACGAGCCAGGTAAGTAACCCTATAACTGGTCTGGTTTCCGTTACTATCTTTATAGGAGAATATATATTATAAAGATCATTAATATAAAATGGCATAGAGGGTTAGCAAAATAGGAATATGCTCCAATGACCAAAGTTTATTTTAGCAAATCCAAGGATTTAATTCTGTTAGAAATTTATTCCAGAATGTTATAGAATATTTCTTTCATTTCAGATAATTGTGCAAAATAAATTTTTATGTATTTTTTTTTAATATTTATAAAAAATCTATAAAATTCTAAAGGCAAAATTATCTGAAATTCACAATGTATGATACTATGTATTCGAATATCGAAGGATATCTTATATTAAAATTTTAATAATGGATATGAAATCCATGGGGAATCCGATTTTGTTTTAGGAGCTATTTTTAAATGTTAAAAATTTGATTTGTATGGAAATACATATTCAGTATATATAGAGTACCCACACTGAAAATTTCAAACAATTTTATAATAAAATTTTAGAAACTCTCAATTTATAGTAATTTTTATATTAATTTTTCATATAAATTAAAAAAATATATATAAGTTTATGAAGAAAAATTATCAGAAATTTAAAGGGTAAGTATACTACATATGATCTCCAGTATGACTTTATAAATTTCATACAATTTCGCCCTAATTTTATTGATTTTCAAATTTATATGCAATATCCATATAACTTTCATTATAAATTAAGAATAGTTCTAAATTTCACAGCAAAAATAGAGTGGGTATTCTATAACTGCTTAAATATATTTCCTATCAAATCAGAATTTCAAAAAAAAACGCTCCTAATAAATGATTTAAACATGAAAGATTGCAAATATATATGGATACCATATCCCAATATGACACATGTATATACACTCTTTACAAGTTGAAAGTCTTTCAAAAATTAAAAAACGTGCATGATTTAAAATTTGCATAAAAAACAAAATTTAGGTTTGTTAAATGAACATATGTATGTTATAATTACAAACTTGTGTTTTACAGGTGGGGCAAGTTAATATAGAAGGCTTTGGTCCGAGTTTTGAGGTTGTTATTAATGTTAGACCTTGACTAACCTTAGTTGCCGAAGAGAAATAGTGGTCGTCTTTTGCTTTGATTTCTTTTTCCCGCAAGGTTTGATTTGATGGAATCGGAGGATCTTCGACTATAAATGAATCCCTCATTTGCATAATTATATCACTTAAACCGTAATCATTAAAAGAAAAAAAATCCCTTACATAATCACTTTTTTAAACAACAATAATCAGAAATTCATAACGGAAAAAAAAATATAATGTTATTGTTGGGGGATTTTTATTTATTTAATTTCATTTTGAGGAAAAAGTTAAAATATAGATCAATATTAGTTCTTGTTCGCTAATAGCTAAAGTTTGTTCCGTGATGATATTGAATTCAAATTGAGAGAAGTCAGTGAAAACTGTGATGATTAAATTCGAACACTTAATAGATAGAAATTATTTAGGTGTTTTTTTCGCTGTATGATGCCGTAATTGTTATGTATACAACTTTCAGATTTGAAAAGCACAAATCTAAATAATGTGTAATTAGTTCAAGGAAATATTTCACATGAAATTAGACGTTTACCTTTGTCATTAAGGAATACGGCTCATCATAACATAAGTTTGAGAGAAAATCATAATTTTCATCGTAATAACCACGAAGATTTGATCTTATTTTTTACGTGTTAGAGTATCGCCTCGATTTTTGTTTATTATAGGTTAATTGTAATTGTAACTGTTGTATTTTAATAGTTTATTATTTATTTTTTTATATCTATATATATAATCTCCGTAATCAAGAAATGAACGTTTTCGTATCATCTTAATGTTAATTTTATTTTTTGTATCAGCTTTCTTATAATCTTATGTTAATTTTATTTTTTCTATCAAATTTCCTATCATCTTAATGTTAATAAATCGAAGGAGAATATACCTCTAATGTTAAATTATTTTTTTTTAAAAAAAAGAAAATTTTTTTTTCATCAACGAGATTCGATTCACAGACTAAATGTTACACAGGCAAGAGTTCTTTCCAACTCAGCCCCCTTCTATCTTAAATTTTATAATACAATTCTTCTTATATATGAAACTATATTTTGATAAAATAATTTAATTATATCAATATTTATTTTTTTTGAAGCTCCAGACTTGGGAAAAAAAATTTGAAAATTATTAACGGTTGGCCAGGTTTGAGAAAAATTTTTTAAAATTATAATGAGTTGGGCTTGAAAATATTTTTATAAATTATATTGCGCTGGGATTGGGGGAAATTTTTAAAATTATTATCAGCTTGGACGTTTGGGAATTTTTTTTATTATTAACTATGAATCAGACATTGACTTAAACAATTTTTTTTTGCTGGCCTGGGCTCGGCCTGATCAAAAAACCAAGGCTCATATTTTATTCCACTTCTCAACCTACCAAAATTATTATTATCTTTGGTTGGGTTGGGGAAATTTTTTCAAATATGGGTATCAAGTAAAAGCTTTAGATATATTTTGACTCAAAACATAGCTTTTATACTTAGTTTTAATGGATTGGATCTGGCCTAAAGGGGGGGGGGGTTATAAAGAATAAAAATTGGATATTATTTTCAAGTAACAGGTAACAACTATCATAAGAGAAAGGAAAAAATTCTCAATCCCCGACTTTTTTACCGGGCTCAGCAATGCTAACTAACAGGAGCTCTGTACTCTTAGTTATATATTTTTCATTTCGCCCATCAAGAAAGACGGGTCATCATACTTTAAATTAAGAATATCTTATGAGGTGTGATTCACAAATTTGCCCTTTTTTCCTAAATTTTAATATAAAATATATTAATAAAGTATATTTAGTACCATATATACAAACTAATTACCCCTCAACCCCGTCATTCTTGAGGGGTAATTATAGTATATATATAATAATTGACGTAAAAAAATATGTTATAAAAAACACTTTCTTTTTGTTAAAAAATACTTTTTTTATTTTAGTTTTCTTTTTTAAAAAATTGGTAAATTTTATTATTGGAGTTTAGATACATAATAAAATAAAAATTTAAGTGTCTAAGTATCTATAGTCAGTCATAAAAAAAATTAAAAAGTGTTTGTTGTATTATGCAAATTTAGTTTAAAAAATAGTTGTACTTATATTTGTTATATGCAAAGATAAATTTTACATTTTTATATTTAGGGAATAACATTAATTTAAATGATGGATTTTTATTTTATATGTTTATTTCTTCGAAAAATTATTATGTTTAATATTCAAATGATTATAAAAAAAATGAATATATATATTGTTCAATTATTTCAATAAAAAACAGTTAGTTGGAATTTCATAGAAAAGAGAAATTGTTTTGTGTTCATTATAGAATTCTAATTTATTGATAGAAAGAAAAGATTCAGTGTCTTCTACCAAAAAAAAATGTAATACAGTTATTTAATAAAAATAAATTAATTAAAGGAGTTTATATCATATTATTTTAGGTTCGTTGAATAGTGAGTGATTATTAATTAAATTATTATTATAGATTTTATTTATCTTGATTCCTGTTACGCTCTCCCAAATAACATTAAGCCCCTGAGCAAGTTCGGATTTGTAACAGTGTTTAAGTATCCATATGCAGTCATAAAAGTAAGGAAAATTTTTTCGTTTTGGAAAACTATTTCCTCACATTTGGGTATGCAAAAAGAAATTTTTTTTGGTGAAACCCTAATTATTTTAGAAAAATTATTTTTCGGCTAGCCCGGGTTTTATATTTATATTCCGGGCCCCGAGGCTCTAAAAAATTTTCTATGGCATGGGTTTAATTTTTGGCAAGTGAGAAATATACCATTTCGGCATGCTACGGTTTTGTTAATATAAAAAAATTTAATATCTAACAATTTTTAATAATTTAATACCAAATATAAAGATTACATATGTATTCATTATTCACCTGGGAATGATGGTCAAGGGGAAGGGAGTTGACGTTAAAATAAATACCCATGGAAACGGTAAGAATTCATACAGTTTAATATATTTTTTAAATAAATTCATTGAAAATTATATATCAATTATTTTTTCCAAATAAGGCCACTTCCAGAGAGAACGTTTTTTCAAAGCGGTTTGGGGGGGGGGGGTAATGTTAACAGCAATTTTTTTTAAAATTTATTTCCAAACAAAAGATAATAATTTGTCGAATTAATTTTTTTATAATATATAATATTGTTTTAAAAAAAATTTTCGACGAGTCCCATTTCAGATGCCATTTAATGATAATAGAAAACAAACAAAAACAAAGAAAATTATGAAAAAAACTCTAATAGGCCCCTAAAAACGAACAATAATTGTATTTAAAATAATTTTCTACATATGGAAAAATTATTGGGGTCAAGGCATTTACGATTTAATTTTATTATAAAATTGAACTAATATTGATTCAAATTCTTCGTTAGTAGATTTTGCAATTAGGGAAAATATAATTGCCAAACTTTTTATATTTATTACTTTTTAAGCGCGTGATATGGTAGGCATGTTGCTATTAATTAAGTAGACTGAGACACATATGTATGCATACAATTAAAATTTTAACCTTGGCGCAAGCCGTGCTTTAATATTGTCAGAAAGGACATGCTAGCTCTAGAAGTACACAGAAATAGGCAATTGAATATTAATTATTTTTGTAAACAAATGTGTTCAAATTAAACAGGTTCATGAATAAAATTCATTTTTTTGAAGAATTTATTCTAGACAAATTTTACGTGAACGCAATCACTTTATCTTTGACAAACACGTTCATTTTTTATATTCATTCAATTTAAAAAGTTTAAATTTCTATTTTACCTCTTTAAATTTAAAATAATCTGCCAGCTGTTTCCAGTAGATGTACGCTTTCACTTCTGACAAGTGTCTACTTCAACTCTAATCTGAAATGGTTATTTTACAAATGAATCTATTTGATATCAAACTTGAATGGTCTTGGATAAAGCTTCCATAAAACAAAGCAATAAAAAACAAATTTTTTAAAGAAATCGGCAGAAAAACCTAGGATTGAAAAGGAGTCAGGGAAAAATACCCATTCTCAAATCTCGAATTTTTATGACGATGAATTTGTAGACAAATTATAAGAGGGTATTGTTTATTAAAAAAAATCAATATTTTAAAATTATTTTTCATTAAATTTAACAATGCGGCAATTCCATCTTCAGCTAGTATTAAACAAGTTTTTAGAATTGCAAATTCCGTTTTAACAAAGAATCCCTCTTTCTCCTCAGAAAAAAATTTGGGTTATTTATGAGACCCATTTTAAAAATGAGAAAGTTAGTTATTTTATAATGTTTTTAAGCTTAGGTAAATTACTATAATTCTTTGGAGGGGGAGGGGGTGGCTGAATTCATTGTCATCCCAGACCGTTTAACCTTCGCATGACCCTCTATATCATGCCGATGACTCAGTTATTTTTCATAAAACTGGTATTTATTTTGAATAATGCAACTTAGTGAAAGGCATTAAGATCTCATACCAATAACTTGTAAATGTTAATTTTATCACATTTCATTTTTTTACTAGATATTGTTATAATTCTACATTTGACTCGTATGTATAATTAAAAAAAAGAAATTGTTTATGTTTGTGCCGATGATTAATCGACGTATTATAATTGCTCCAAATATTAATACACATATATCGAGAAAAGACTATGTACAGATATCGAAACCACCGCAATTGAGTCACATGATTTAAAAAGGAACGGACCGACAAAGTGTATTGTTCGAGATCAGATATGATTATTAAATTTTTTGAATCCCTTGAGCTATAATACGAGATCGGAAGGTCGAATATTGACAAATATTTACGAATTATATTGATCGATTGTAACGTATAGATCTCGAAAAGCATTCGAGATTTATTGTAAAAGTTGTGGGGTTCGGTAAAATGACGCAAACCTGAGAATATCGATTTATGATTTAAATGACCACTCACTCCATAGTTATCGAACGTAAAAATGTATTGCGAATAAGTTTCGTTTATTTGTCGTTGATGAAAATTATTAGTAAAAAACTGATCGGTGTAGTTTTGTAGAGTATTATATAGATGCCATGAATCGTATCTCACATTTGGATCATCCGCGAAATTTAGGATAACGATGCGAGAAGAAGGAATACCTAAGGTTTGACAACTGGCAATCAATTCTTGTTTTCGGATTTCACCCAGCCCATAATAATCTCCAGATGTCAAGCATAATATATAAATATTATAGTTGTCGTAGCCCTGAAATTGAAAAAAAGTTTGATTAAAGAGGGGCATTTTTTTGAGATGTTCATAAGTGTTTTTTAAATAGCGAAGAGTGGGAGCGAAAAAAAGAACCTCGTCATCTGGATGGGCTATGATAAATAAAATGCTAGAGGATGGGTGTGGGATTAGTAAATTGTAACCATGATTACGACTATTTATTTGTTGATATAAGTCTGGAGTGAAAATCGTATTGAGATAATTATCATGATATTGGTGATAAATGTGTAAGGTTATCAAAATGTAGAAAATCAAAACAACTGTCGTTGCATAAAAACAGACAGCCCACTTACCTAAAATAAATGTTAAAATAATATTAGATAGTCAAATATACTGGGGATGCACGATATCTGGAATTCGGCAGCCGACACATAATTCATGCAACCTTGGAACTATAATGAAAAAACAAAAAATCGGTATCAGATACACATGAAAAGCAGGTATCGTAATAATCAGCTATTTTTTGCCGATCACTGATCTTCATGTTAATCCAAAGGTGTTTGGCTTGACTCAGCTAATTATCAATTCACTAGCTATAATAATTCTCCTTTTTTAAGTTTCCTATAATTTATTTTAAAAAAACAATTATTCCAAGACTTTTATGCATTAAAAATAGGCTACCAGATATACCACATTTTCAAAGTAAAAATAATAAATTGAGTACATATAGCCAAGTGTGGTGAATTTTTATATTAAAAGTAGCAATCATATTTGAAAGACATGCTATTTAAGATTAGAATAAAAACTTACATTTTTAATGATTAATAAATTATAGATGAACTTGAATATTTTTTTTAATATTTAATTATGTTTTTGTCAAATATTTAGACACAAAATTTTAAAAAAAATTTGATAATTCAGAAGCGATTAATTTATAAGTGCTGTGATAATAACAGAGGTGTAAATTATCAGTGATGAAGCAACAAATTTGTTATTTGATAAAACATTTTTTTTTAGTCAAATAGTAAAATATAAACTATCATTTTGTAGGGCTGCGCTGATACAAAACCGATTTAGTAATCAATATTTAAATTGATTCCAATATCAGAAATAATTAATAATTTCTATGCAAAAAAAAATTATCAGTAAACTAGGCCTAAAAAAAATTGGATTCATTTCGAATAATAAATTATTAGTTTTTTTTTGAATATGAAAGATTCACTTATAAAAGATTTTTTTACAAAAAAAAATTTAAAATTTAAGGTGAAATTTGATCAAAAGCTTCTCTTATAAATCTTCTTTAAAAAATATCTTTCGGATCAAAATCTTTAAGGATTTTTTATTTTTGAGAAAATGTTAAACTCTTAATAAAAAGTACAAATAGATTAAAATACAATTAATTTTTTTTTTAAATTAGTGGTATAGTAAATTATTACAAAAATCGAACATAAATGTGGATAATATGAATTAAATGACTTTGATGACCAAATTGACAAAAAGATATTTGGGAAACACAGCCGCAGGTAGTATTAAATTAAGCAAAATGGAAACTATGACCTCAGTATTAAGTCTAAGATGAGTCAAACTAGTGTTGTTAAATGAGGCAATATTTTTCTAGCTAAAATATTGAGTTAGCCGTTTTTAAAAATCGGCTCAAATCAAGCCTTTTAACAACACTAAGTCAAACTCTTAAATAAGAGTTAATTCTAAAACTTATACCAAATTAAGTAGTGGTTAAATCAGTATATTTTATTGCGTTAATTTGGTAAATTATTCAAAGGTGAAAAAATTATTCAAGTAATATGAAATTGCAAGAATTCGCATCATGCCAGAATTGAGAATATTAGGGCTGGGCCGATATATAATATTGAATGAGATGAGCAGCGATATTTACCGTTTTCAAAAATAAATCCGATCGCGCAGATATTTTTTAAAAAACCGATCCGATATCTTTTATTGTTTTTGGTTATTTTGTTGTTGTATAATATTTATAATTTTAGAATTGTAATGTTTTAAAAAAATTGTTAAAAATTTTACACTATTTGTTATATTATGTGCAAAAGAAAAGGATTTTAAAATATATAACGAGTCATATTCAGCTAGTCTTGTTAAATGGCACGATTTAATAATTAAAAACGGTTAACTAAAGATTTTGCCCACAGAGAGTAGAAAGGTTTGAACTTCTATTAGCGAAATTTAGAGGCTTAAGATTAACATTTTGGCAATCTTGATTTAAGCCCTTTTTATAAATCAGCCAAATGGAACTGTAAAACAACACTATGCATTCACACATAAACATTGTAAAATGAGATTAATAACTTTTGGAGAGCAAAATAACAAGATATACTTAATCAATAGTGAAAGTTGGTTGTTTTTTTCTACAAAAGAAAAAAAATATCGAAATTTTTATGACATTGGTTCAAAAATAGATGATAAATAAATCAATATAAATATCGGATACGTATTTGATTGGGTTTTTAGCAATAAAGTATCGGCGAAAAATTTGTGAATCGGCATTGCCCTATAGAATATAGAAGTTATAAATATCTGGTTTTGGTTAATTATACCTTATATACAAATTCTAGAATAAACTTCACCAACCACAAAATGGTAACCGAATTATAGGCCAAATAAAAACTACGATATCATACTTAAGCATGAACTCAGTCAAAAGTAGCATTAACTATTAAACATATATATCAATACTAGTGCTTCAACCCTTTTGGTAAAGTTTTGAGAAAAACGCTTTAAGGGAAAAGTAAGAAAAAATTGTTATGCTAAGCATCATTTTATAATGAAAATTATAGAGGCATTGAAAATCTGAGCACCCCCATTATGATGAATACTTACTAATTTATAAATCAGTTTTCCGGACAATAGAAACCATTAATAAATGATAAAGATTAAAATGTCAATCGATTATGTGAAAAACAATAAACTTTCCTTTTAGTCAATTCAAAATATTTTTTAACTATATAGATAACTTGTTATTTTAAGTTTATTTAACATATATAAACATAAAATCTTATATTTTGAATGGAGTTGTAATTTTCAAAAATTTGACATGAATCTGAATCTTAAATTAAGACAGTCTTAAGCATGATTTGAAAACTTTTGATAGTACTAATTCTAAAATTTAGGTTAACATGTAATACTTAACTAGTATATATTTTTTTGTCTAATGCTTCAATCCATTTGATAAACTGTATAAATAAAAAGATATTAGCAAAATAAGAATCTGGCCGTAGCTTTGATACTTTTATCATTTTAGCATAAGAGAGTAGTTTTAATTGTGGTATCTTTGAAAAAGATCACTTAAAAATATGATGGAATGGTTATGGTAACTAAAATTGAAAACGATAATGATGATTTTCCTTACATACTTAGGATGAGCAATTGTTTTGTAAAGTAATACTCAGTACACTATAAATCAGGGATCCAAACCGAACCTGAACCGTTAAACCGCTAAAAACCTGTAATTTTTATCGAACCTAAAATACTAAAATAATTTCTAGCCGAGCCTGAACCGAACCGCTAGAACCGGTTCAAGCCTCATGATTTTATGCCTATAAAATAATGTGTAAATATTACTAGTATATTGTAAAAAATTTAATAATATTCAAATTGTTTTAAAGATTTTAATCACTCACATTTGATTGATATCATTCATAATTTTTATAAACTCTAGTATATTTCTATTTTATAGCATTTTTAAATATTTTTAAGCTTATAAATTATAATGCCTAGAGAAAATTAAATCCAATATATAAATTATTTACATATAGTAATATAAATGACACATCAAAATGTAATATCACTGATTGTTAAATAAATATGAAAGGCCATCATATATCTTGAGCATCACAAAAAAAATCACCATCTAGAATTTGATAAAATTAACAAAATATCACAACAAAAGCCTAATAAAAAAAAAGTTTAAGATGTCATCAAGCCAACAGACGATAGAAGAAGCATTAAAAAAACAAACAATATCTGTAAAACTAAATAAAAAAATAATCGATGATTGTACTGAGTTGGTAACTTTTAATGGCAGACCATTCAAATTAATCGATGATAGCGGTTTAAAAAAAAATTCTTGATCCTTATTAGAAGCCGTGGGTAAAATTAAAATTAATTCTCAAAATATTTAATCTAATGTTACAGAATATAAGCCTTAAGTATTTGGTAATATATAATCAAAGAAATAAATATTATAGGTAATTTCTCTAAAGAACCTAGGTTAAATAAAACTATAAATATTTTAAACTATTAGAGAAATCAGATTAATCGATGCCCAGAATTATGTAAATTGTTTGATATCATACTGGCAGTGCCAGTTGCCCAAGTTAGTGTTGAAAGATGTTTTTCAACAATTAAATTTATACTATATCTTAATAGATGTAATTTGAGTGAAAACAAATCTTGATAATATATTATTTGTTAGGCCTAAAAAAATTTAAGTAAATAAAGTTAAATATTGTTCATATTAAAATTATTCATTGATATTTATTTGGATGATTTATAATTTAAATATTATATTATAATCTGCAATTAATAAAAATGAAGGTTTTATGTAGTTTTTTATTTTAATGATGAAATAAAAAAATATACCTACATAATTCGAATGTAGATTTGAATACAAAAATGTTCAAACTGGTTTTTAGAGGTTTGAACCAAATTGATATATTTATTTTTTACAAACCGAACCTGAATCGTTATTTTTATCTGAACCTGAACCAATATTTGTTTCGGTTTGGATCCCTGCTATAAATTAAAAATAGAAAAGGCCAAATATCAATATCATACAAATCTTTTCCATTTTTTTATATAATTTGTTAATTTTTTCTATTTAAAAATTAAACTCTCTATAATATTGTATTGTTAATTTACAATTAATTGTTTAGGTCACAATTTTTTTAAAAAAGAAGAAATTTCTGATATTATTTCATCTAAATATGAAATAAAGGAGGGAGTTTTATCAACTTAAAAGAAACCAAAGCAAATTTTTGTCGACATCATCAATAAAAAGTATTATATCATATTTATCATGGGGACAGGGGAGGTTTACCCCAAAACCTATCTCTTGTGTATGCCACTTACTATTTGAAATATTTGTGATTCCACTCAACATCAAAATTATGCAATTAATGCAAAAATATTACTATTTTATAGCTTGGTCTGGGTTAGAAAGTTTTGATATTAATTTTCACAATATTTATTTATAAGTGCCCTTTAAATTTTTTTTTTAATGTTTATAACTACTAACTTATTCATTTTTGGAGAAAGTGCAGAATATATATTTTTATGTTTAAAAAATTGTATGCAAAATTAAGAGTTAGAATAAAAAGGTAGTAAAATAATATGTATTAATATTGTTATATCAAAGTTCATCTTAATAGGTAACCTACCAATCATTGCAATAGTCTAGTTTTCATTATAGGTGCATAATAAAGTTTTTTGAAGTTCAGACAATAATTCCTCAGCTTGTTGTAGGGTTAGTCTTAAGTCAATAGCAGCTTTATCATTTTCATTTTGTAATTCTTGAAAATCTTTCAGATTGTATGTAGTATCAATTGCTTTGTTGTCATTGACATTATCTGGTGGAAGGGCCCCAATTAGCAGTGAAATATCTTTTACATTTTTAGCTATAAGCTTTGAAAATAACAATATGTTGTTTTTATCTTCTGGTTCATTATTTTTATCATCCTATATTGTAAAATAAATAAAAGTTTAAATTATAATATTTACTCCTGTATTATCAACTATTGTATATTGTTGGGCAGGTTGATTTTCTATATTTAAAATACCTTTCACGAGTTTATTTTCAGTTAAAGTGTTAGCATAATTTTTATAAGATAGCTCAGCTGATTGTATATTAGAATGTGCAAAATTATCAAGAATTGATGTGGATAATTCAGAATTTTTATCTAATCCATGGATTTCACAATATTTTTCCTTTAATTGAGATGGGCCAGTTTGTTGTTGGATGACTCCTATAGCATTACAAAATGTTTCGGCTAATTCATTTAGAGCATCTTGCAACTGTGTAATTAAATCTGACATCTGGTCGTATAACTAAGGCTAATATAAAATATAGATAGCCATCTGCTATTCGAATCACTCATTAATTTAATAGATGTCAAATTTTTTGGAACTAGCCCCATTTTTAAATTTAAAAATATAGTGATTTTTATTATTATATTCTGTTTCAAACATTGGCGTATGCATCGGGGGGGGGGGCAACCCCCCCCCCCCCCCAAGCCAAAAAATGCATATGCCGGATATATTTTTCAAAAATATTAATGTTTGTTTATATTAATTTATATTTGTTAATATTTATTCCTATCTCATATTAAATATATATTTAATTACATTTATTTATCATATTCATCTATTAAGTTATTTATCAATTAATTTCGATTTCAAGTTTTCATTGGCGTAATATTTACCTATTATTTTCAAATTTCTAGTGGCGTAATATTTACCTATTATTTTCAAATTTCTAGTGGCGTAATATTTATACCATTTTCATATTTCTATCAAATAATAATTTTTCTGAAACTCCTTGTACAACAGGGAGAAAGAAAGTGTAGCTTGTCCAACGAGATGGAGTCTCCGCCATCAAGTAGTAACAGCTTTTATGGAGTTAGAAGAACCGATTATTAATGCTATTACTGAAATATCACAATGGGAAGAAATATTTCCTCAGAAGGAAGAAAATTATTGGATTCAATACTTATTTCAATTTTTTTTTCTCATTAGAATGTATTATTTAATTATACAACTATTTTATGTAATACTTTTCAAAAACATGACATTGACTTGATTAATAAGATGAGAATAGCGGAGAGCATTTTATTAGAACTCAAGGAAATTAGGGCTAATGTTGATGAAGAATTTCAATTTTATATGTTATCGTTGAGTCAAAAGGAGAGATATACGTGTATAATATTTGTCTCACTCGATTTGCAGCAAGGCAAGCTCATCGTCAAAACATTAGTGTAAGATCAGTAGAAAAGTATTATAAAACTATAATCCAAATAAATGAATGGTTTTTAATTCATCCTGCAGCACTTACCAATCTGCAGATATTACTTCCACAAAAGCCTTGCCAATCTTTTCCGATGGTTATAGAAAAAAAATAATATTTGTTCGATGCCTTATTAGCTGAATAACTATGTTTAAAAGATTAACTAAGATATAGTCCCAAAAAATTCTAAGCATGCTTTGTATGTATTAAAATGATTATATATAATATATATATTAAGCAACTCTTCCCATTAGTAAACTAATGAGAGAACATTCTCTTTTTTAAGAAGAATAACAGAGCTCTGCAGAAATACAATTTGCAGAGCACGGCTTGAATTTATTTTTCAAAATTTTTTTTCGGCCCTTTTTTTAAAGAAATTATATTTATTTTTGATTTTTATAGCTAATTTCAAATATTATAGCCAAGCCCGGATTATATTTTTTAAAAAAAATTAGGCCCGGCCCGGGTGCTTTTTTTAAAAAAATTTCGGGCCCTGCCCGGGTGTACTTAAAAAATTAAAATACTGTCCGATCCGGGAACCGAGCCTACAGTTCTCTGAAAACATACCTAAGAAGTACAACTTCTGAAAGTGGATTGAATGGTTTAGAACTTTTAAATATTTATAGGCATTTGACGCCAAGCAAAGATGAGTAATTGAAAAATTAGCTCAAACCCAACGAAGATTAGATTTTACATTGTAAATATTATACAAAATACAATTATTAATAAGAAACTTTTTGAGTATTAATATTTATATTTCCATTTAAATTTTTTATACTTTATATACAAATTTTAAAGGCTCAAAAAATTCAAATTTCTATTTTGGGTCATTATGTGATTCATATGGTGGTTATATTCATTTATATTTTTTAATTCACATTTATTTTATAGTTTTTTATGTGCCGGTTTATATATATAATTTTTAATAATTCATAATTTTTTAATAATTCATATAATTTAAAATTGTGTATTAGAAATAGTTATTAGTCCTAATAAATTTATGCTTGATATTTTTAAATAACAATAATATTTCTTAAAAAAATTTATCACCCCCTCCCCCCCCCCCCAGACAAAATTCCTGCGTACGTGCCTGACTTCAAATAATCAAAATTTAATAAAAGTATTTTTTTTGATATCATAAAAAAAAAATATTAAAAAAAATGAATGATTGACATCGAAAGCTTATTTGTTTGCACTTTTTTAGGTGGGTTAAATTATGACAATTCATGATGTTGGCTTTGAATTATTTTTTAATAGCGTAAAAGAAAATTTTAAAAATAAATTAGATCCATTAGTTCTTCGTTTACATTGGATATTGTTGCAAAATAATTTAAAATGCTTATGGAATAATAAGGTACAATTTTTTTTAATATCTTATTAACTTTTTACTAAGAAGTCTACTGAGTTGCTACCTTCAGATTGGAATAAAGATTCTAATTTATACAAAATTCATTATACAAACGGCAAACAAATTTTTGAAGTGAAAGTTTTTAAAAAGGATAATACTGTGATAATGAATCTAAAAGTTACATTATATTGAAAAAAATAATTTAATATATTTTAACGACTTAACAAATTATATATGATATGTATTAAACATATAACAGCATATTAATATATTTCCTAATCTGAAATGATGATTCAAAATATATTTATATACATATTTATTTAACACAACCCTGGAATACTTAACATTTGTAAATCTTATGAATCCATGTTTAGCATAGTCTTCATCTTTTACATATATGTTTTAAAAATAATTATATCAAAGTTTTTATTAAAAATTAATTTTTAAAGGTTTTTAAAATTGATTTATCATCACAGTTAGCATTACAGGATTGGTTCTGTTCATAAATGGCTCTAGTTCTTAACCCCCCCCCCCCCCCAGTTCACATCTCTCTTTTAGAATAGTAATTTTTATGGGGATCTATATTGTGCTTTCTTTTATACTTATACTAAATGTAGCCTTTTCTTCTAATTAAACTTATTTTTAGCTAAATAAATTAATTCATTTACACCTGAGTTTAGGTATTTAGTTATGCTTATCCAAATATTTTACCTTTCCTCATAAATAATAATACCTTAATTCTATAAAATTTTGGCTTTCATAGTTTTCAATTGGTAAATTTAAATATTAAATGATAATATCTAGATTTTTAATTTTTTGTTTGCCTTTTTTATATTTTAAATATAGCTGCATTACTGGATTTCATCACAAGGGTGTGTTTAGAGCGTATTCTAGATGTATTTTTTTTTGAAAGGGAGGGGCCAGGGTGTTGTATAAAATTAAAAAATTATTTTTGAAGGAGGATTGCAAATTTTATTTAAACTTAAACCTAATGTAAAAAAATGATAAAAATAAGAATAATGCATATTTTATTTACAATGTTGTCCTTAATACTAATTTAATTAAAGTCAAAAAAATTGATTTATAGTTTTGCCTAAATATGTCTTTATTCTATTGAGCAGGGCTGTGAACCCTTTTAAAAAAGTGTTCAGGTTTTTCAGTGAAGAATCTCTGAACCAGGGTTAGGTTCAGGATTTGGTTTCCAGAAAAATTTTAAATTTACATGAAATAGATAAACTAATATAAAAAAACGATAAATGAAAAAGGATTTTAATAAAATATGTTTTTAATAATGAAAATAAAAAAAGCAATGTTTTAAATATTTACTATGTGTTGTAATATTCAAATGAGTTAAAGAAAAATGAATAAAAAAAGATATATTATTCAGATTAGATAAAGTTCAAGATTATTTAAGTTTGTTGTTTAAACACTATGTAAATAAATAGTATAGAAAAGTGTATATAATTGGGAATATTTTACTTGAATAATTATTATTATGTTGCGAACTTAATTATTAATATTTTAATTTTTTTATTGTTATGATTATGTAATTACAATTTATATTTATTAATAAAGTATTAGTAGTTAATTTATTTACACTATTTATTTGTATTCTCTTTAATTTCTCAACTACAACATTTGTTACTGAAACATTATGTTCTATAGGCATATTCAGTATAATTAACTTTTCATTATTTGACACTACGTTTTTTTATTATAAATATTTTTTATATTTTTAATACTGTTCAAATTTTTTATAATTTAATAAAATAAAATTAATAAATTTTAAAATAAATTCTTGAACTCTGAACCTTAAATTTCAAAAGGTTTGTGGTTTATAAGTATTAATAATACATGATAAAATATTTTTATTGCTAGTTTAATAATGTTTTTAATTATAAATTCCAAGAAACTGTTTGATATAATAAAATGACTGCATGTTTGGTAACTTTGTTTAGGAGTCATTTTCCTATAAGCCATTGTTTATATTACCCGATTGGAATTTATATTTTACCTGTCCCAGTTAAAAATTTTTCCAGCACTTTTTCAATTTTTTTTATGAAGGTTACCAAGCCCGATTTTTTAAAGAAGGCCTAATCCAAAATATATGTATTTAAACACTAAATTGAACAACTATTTATTATATTGGGTAGTGGTTAAATTAAACACACTCCACTTTATGGACTATCACATCTAACAAATATCTGAATTCACCAATAATTCAGCCTAAGTGGTTAAATTAAATGCACAACACTTTATGGATTATCACTTCTATTGAATATCAGAATTTACCAATGGCCGAACTTATACACCTCTAATTCTATTATATTTTAAAATTTTATTTAAATTTAAAAACCATGATTTAATCAAATGAATCAATTTTTTTTTATTTTAATAAAAAAAAACAATGATTTTTGACAAAACCCAAAATCCCATTCTGTTATTTTTTAAGCTAGATTTACATAATAAATTTGGGTTCTATAATAAGTATATGACGTTATTATCGGTCCATCATATGTTATAAAATTGATAATTTTTTGGGCGCCTTCCAGATTAAACGTTTTTATTAATTTTTATCGATTAGGAGTGTCGATTAACACTCCAATGGTAAAAATTGAGCGCGTTTGGGCAAACCTCTAACTACACCACTGATTTTATATAAATTACACAAAATTCCCACAATTTGAAAACTAAATAGAATAAAATTCAGATGATAACAGATGAACTGTAAATCGTCATATTACCGTCAAATAAAATAAAAAACGTGAAAGATGAAGAAGGAAACGATCAAAACTAGGGCTGTGCTGACATTAAATATCGAATCGAAACTGATATTTTATGTTATTTTTGGTTAATTTTATGATTGTATATATAATTATATAATTTTTTTTATTTTGTAAATAATTTGATAATAATAAATGAATAAAAGGAACTAAAATACAATTTATTTTTTGCAATAATTTAAAAATTTTACTTTATTTTTGGTTATATTATCTGCAACAATAAAATGTTTTTAAAATATCTAACGAGTCACATTCAGCTAGTGTTGTTAATCATCAAGAATTTGGTCGAAAGTAAATTAATCGAGCTTATTAATTTTGCCCGCATATTGCAGAAAGGTTTGGGATTCTATTGGCGAAACACGAAACTTAGGTAATAATATTTTAGCTAAAATCTTGATTTAACCCTCTTTTTAAAATCTGTCAAAAGAAGCTGTTTAACAACCCTACATTCACCCTTAAACATTGCGAATATTTTAATTAAAATTATTAACTTTTTGAGGATTAAAAAAAACAAAATACACTTATTCGAGTTATTTGTTTTTAAATAGAAAATATTGATATTTTTATGACATTTATTCAAAGATAGATGGTAATAAACAATTTTATTAAAAGATTCTTTTTCTCATATAGATTCAAAACCCCAAATAGAATTTTTTGATATGTTTTTATTTACCTTTAATGCAAATAAAATTATAAATCAGTCAAAAATTAATTTCATTTCTTTGATATTAAATTTAAATTACTTTTCTAGGTGCCATTCTACAGATTTAATTTAGCAGTAGTATATTACTTGGAGAATATACAGTTATTCTTGTTCTAATATGCCCCATCTTTTCAATCAATATATTGTGCAATCTTTGATTGCCATTGCTCGATTATTAACCACCTCGTCGATCACAATAGCCTATTGATTTAATAAGTGAAGTTGGATTTTGTCATATGCTAGTTCTAACTAATTATGAAGGTCGGTGTAAATTGTAAAAATTCTCAAATGTGATCGACAACGAATATGTGTGATCAGTGTGCAACCCAACAAGGCAATTTATGTTCAACACCTTGCTAATAATTGCATATTGCAAAATAATATTTCACTTATATTTATATATATATATATATTCTTTTTATATATAATACAATGTTATATAATTATTCTGAAGAAGAAAAAAGTTGAAAAAAAATCTTGTTTATTTTTAAAGTTATCACCTTATTAATTGTTAACGCGTAATTATACTTAGTTAAGTAAACGGAATTCAACAACTATTTAAGTATTCCGGAGTTAATATCGCGGGCACTTTGAAATCTTCCAAAGGAGAACAATTATTTTTTAAAGATTTTGATTCTTTTATAATTTTATTTTTAAACCGACTCCTTGTTTTTATAACCAGAATGTTTTAGAATTTTACCTGATACATAAATTTATAATATATTTATACATAAGAATGAAAAAGATATGGAGGAGAGTCAAACAAAATTAAAAACTGATGAATATATTAGTAATGATTTTAAAGACTTTGACAAGTAAATTTGGATAATTATAAATCATTATTTTTTAAATTATGTAAATAAAATTAAGTTTTTAAAATTTTTGATTTGTCACCAATTTAAGATAATTTGTAAAAAAAATTAATAAATAATTAATTTCAAATTTTCCTTATAATTATAATAAATATAGTAAATCAAATATTCGAAACTCAAAATGTTTATATTTAACACGAGGATCTTTTTATTATCATGAAAATTTGAGACATTTTTACATCCCATGCACATTTATTTTTAAGGGCATATAAAAATCAATCCAATTTTGAAAAAGTTGTGCAGGGTGATTTACTAGAAAAGGGTGATTTTAAAGCCCCGATCAACTTACCAACCTCTTCCGCTCATTCAGATAAGATACCCCAAGAAAAAACTTTTCTAGCTAATAAAGACCTAAGTGGATCAAGCAATCTTTTAGATAACCGCTTTCAGCCCCCTTCTAGAAACATGTAAGTTTTATCGATATATCTTTAATTCTGTTGTCATTTGTTCAATTTACCATTATGTTACATATCACGCCATAAAAAAAATTAAGCATCTTCACCTTGAATGTTGGAACATAAAAACAAATATAAGCTTGATTTAAAATTAGAATTTTATTATTTTTTGTTATTCTAGTGGAGTAATTATTTAGCGCTTTATTATTTATTACAACTTCCTTAAAATGAATTAGCTTATATTATTATCATCTGAAAGTGATAACCAGCCTGGCATCTTTCCCGTAGGAAGCGGAGATCTTGACCCATTAGGCCGTAGTGGACCTCCTGGCATGCTTTTTGACCCAGCCCACAACATGGGCCCTTTTGGAACAGGCGGGACTGGACGGTTTAGACCATTCAACCCCAATGCCGGTCTACCCGGGCCAGATTTGTTACCCCCAGGTGCTATACCACCTGGAGCTCGCTTTGACCCCTTTGGACCAGATATAACTCATGAGTAAAATTTGTTTTATATATCAATATCGCAAAGTTTGACTTGTAATGATCTTTATTTATAATAATTAGAATTTTCAGAAATTTTATATTGCAAGTATTTTACAAATACTAGAGTACATTTCCGACAATCATTTTTTTTATATTTATAAAAACGCGCTAAATAAATAATTTAAAATTGGAAAATGGCAAAATAATTTTTTTAACATATGTTTAATTTTAAAAATCTGATTTTGCCGAAAATGGAATTCCAGTGGTGGTCTGTATCGGACCTAATTTTTCAATTCAGGCTCGGTCCTAAATTTTTTAAAAAAATTGTTAGGCCCGATTTTGAACGAAACTTATATTTATTCCGAAAAGCCCGGCCGAAATTAAAATAAAAATTATTTGTCCTCTTGGCCTGAATTCGTAATTAGAAAATTTTAATATTTTTTTTAACTAAAAATTACATTTTACAAAAAAAATATTTTTTAAAAAGAATTTTTTTTTTTTGAGTTTTTATAAATTTATATACTAAAATTTCATGGAATGATTAAAATATTAAGCAGGCAATGCACACATTGTCGGTAACATATATGTATATTTTGATTATTTTTTATCGATTTACAGTCGCTCTTTCTATTCCTTTTTGACAAAGATAAAAATAAATTTATTCTTCTTTATCTATCCTTATTTTATAATCAATGAGATCACTGGCCCTTATCATTAGGCATTCTCATAAATTTAACATTATAGTACTGTACCCTTACTCCTATTCCTCACCATTGTTTTATGAATCTTTAATATAATTTAATTTTAAACCTATAAGTTTTTTTAGTCATTAATTGATATTGTAGATATTACGAGAATTAATAAATCGTTATTAGCGGGGTTTTATGATGGGTGTTTTTTTATTTGCAATAAAAATTGTAGCTATATATTATGGTATTAAACTGAACATATTTTATAGTCTCATTATTAGACTACAGAAAAATTCTCCCCGGCTTTTAGGATTAAGTAAAAGTCCGGCTTTTATGACCCTAATATGACAAGACATTCGGGGTTAAAATTAGTGATCTGCATCGGGCCTAATTTTTCAAAACCGGCCCGGCTCGAAATTTTTTTAAAAAAAGTTTTGCCGGCCTGAACCTGAAATGCCCGAATTTTTTTTAAAAAAATTTACCGACCCGGCCCGGCCCGAATTTATTTAAATATAGAAATTAATTTTTATAATTACTCAAAATAAATTTCAATAAATAAAATCAAATATTTTTATTTTACATAAAAATTCAATATAAAATTGATAAATTTATATATTTAAAAAAATTTCCAAAGTCTGACCCGACCCGGCCAGAATTTTTTTTTAAAATATTAGGCCCGGCCCGAACCCGATTATTTTAAAAATTAGGCTTCGGGCCGGGTACGGGCCGGGCCTAACTTTGCATATCTCTAGTTAAAATTATGATTATCAAATCAATTCCAATCCTTTCTTTTTATTGTTATGCTTTTTACAATTAATAAATATTATATGGAGGAGATGCTGTAATTATTTTTTCTGACTAACCCCTCATTGATATAAAGTCTTAACACAAGAATAATCTTACTTGGTAAAAACATGAAGGTTTATTAATTTAATAGTGTTTTAATATCACTATTTAGATAATAGGTGAGTTGTCTGTATACTTGTCAGCTGTTCCGAGACTTACATCAGGGCATTAGATATCATTAGGGATAACGTTATCCATGGTTTCATCTCTAGATCTATCATTTCAAATATAATTGGCTTCTGTAAAAATATGAGGGCTTAGTGATTAGGTTCCATCTGCCGTAAACCCTTTTTAAAATATTTTATGGATTCATTTCCCTGGTTCTTGCTTCATAAAATATCATTTACCACTTGCCATATATCCCCAGGGGTAATAAGTTTAAATGGCTCCTAGAAAGCTGGAAACCCCGGATCAAGTTTAAACGGTTGATTATTAGTATAGTTGGGTAATTACTGTATTTTTAGCCTAATACTATAACTTTGGCTACGGGGTTTTTCTTAAAAAGATAGCAGCTCAAATTTGGAAGTCTGGCAAGCACGTGGATATTGAGTCGAATAGCCGATATTTTAACCATTACCCAACTATAGATATTGGTCACTAAGGGTAGATATTTTATAAAATTCAGAAAGTACTTTTGCCTTAACAAAAAATTGTTGACGAAAAGTACTAATTTTTAAAAAATCAATATCTGTCGATGAAAATTTGGTAGATAATATATATAAAATACATCTTTTGACAAAATTCAAGATAATTGGCTGTAAAGATGATAAGTTTTAGCCTTTTGTCATTTTGACCCACCTGCTGTATAACCCCGATCATCCTACTTATACTATTTTTTGTCAGACCTGTATAGGTACTATTTGCATGACCCAGCCCGGATTTTATATTACGCATATTATAATATCATTTACTGTTTATTTTTTTAGAACTAGACCAGATCACCTGAGACCACCGGGAAGTGATGATATGTACATGTGAAACACGATTTCTTGTTATGAACATTTTCAAATTTATCAAAATTTATATTCGATTTCCATAAATATTTATCAGTGTAATTTATATTATTTTATTATCGAAATTATTAATGGAATTTTCCCATATATCTAAATAGAACAAACCATAAATTACTAATTTTTTTTGTTGTCACAGAAATGGATTTTTTGCCCTATAACTATTTTATTTACTGCCAAATACTTTAAAATATTTGGTTTCCATAATTTGAAGATAACTGTATTTAAAAATAGATTTCATAATAATGAAGGCCCTTTTAAGTTATAAGAAAAATTTTTAATTTTTTTTAAATATCAATTTAAGTTTGAAATAGAATGTATTCCCATAATTAACAATTTTTCAATATAAATAATAGTACTGTGCTGACCCACAAATTTTTCGATGATCCGATGTGCTCTTATTGTCACCCAAAATCGATATCGATTCCATATTTTCATTGATTTTTAATATATTAAAAATAAAAAATAGAACAGGAAAAGTTTAGACTTAAATAATTAAAATTGATTCAATAATAGTATTACCTAGTCAGACTCTTTCTTTTAAAATATTTCTATTTTATTTTGTAAAACATTATAAATAAATTATTTTGGTTGGTTTAATTTATATATTAAAATAAGAAGAAAAAAAACAAATGATAATATCTGATAGGTTTTTAAACGGTAAGAATAAACCTTCTATCCTTAGCACTCATACATTTTTGATGGAATGTCCAACAAACAGCTTTAAAAATTTACATCCATCAAAAAATGATTAAAGCTAATGGAAAGTTAAAAAATACTATGGTTTTAAATTCAGATTTTTTTATAAAAATAAATAATGAAATATAATATATTTTTGGGTATTTTTTTGTATATATAAATTTATTTAGTGATATGAACTTATTTATGTAACAGCGATTTTAAAAAAATGATACAGACAGATTTTAAATATAAATTACAGAAATGTATTGATTGCGTTTAGTTATTAAAAAGTCTTCTTCTTGCCTGACCTCCCAAACTATTTCACCATAATTTCATATTATTATTTTAGAGTTTTCTTGGAGCCGGCTCTACGGTTCCACCCAGGTTATCAGTTAGAGGTATATTTTCAAATTCCGTGCTTGGAGCTTTTTCTTTACTCTTTATAATTGGGACAGCATTAGGGTCGTTTAGATTAATTTCCGTATATTCTCCTTCGTTATAATTATAAGGGCTGTAATTTGATTCGGCTCCATAGGTATCTACCAATATAGAATAATAGGGGTTATTCGTAAATGAAAATACTCATCTTAAATATAATTTATAAAATGTGTATAAGACTGTCCTAAATATCAAAAATATTATTAATAAACTTTTAACTTTAACCAAAAAGAGAAATAAGCTATTTTTAATGTAAAAATAAATTGTGGGTAAATCATTTTTTCCAATTTACTTTAAACTTATTAATTTTAAGTTCAAGAAATTATAAAAATTTAATTGATTTTAGCTTAAAGTTTTATCGTAAGCAATATTCATTTTTATTTTTCAAATTATAATAAGAAATGGGCAGTTATATTAATCAAAATTGGAAGTATTAATTGAACGGGAAGTATAAAAATAATTTGGTAGGAATTATAAATTTCAGAATTTACAGAACTTTAAAAAGATTTTAGACATACTTCAGCTTTTTATAAAATTACGAAGGTTTTTGAGTTTTTAAAAATATATTTAATAGCCTAAACCAGAGGGAGGTGAAATTTTTAACCCCGGTTCAATTTAAGTAATTTTTAAAGATTTGGCATTTTAAATATATTTTTTTATAAATGATTTATTAGGGAAATTTAAAAATAATGTGAGAAACGAAGATTTTTAAATCATTTATAACGTGATTTTTGAATTGATATATGGTCATTTTTAGTCACATGGTATTCTTTCTAAAACTCAAGATGTCCCTTCAATTCCAATAAGTGAGGGCTCATGTTGGATGTAATTTTTTTTAATTCTTGACCCAGAATTTTAAAATGCCATTTTACAACTTGAGCCTGCAGATCTTTGATATGAACTATATGACAGACTTGCAATTAGTGTTAAACGATGTGAACCGATTTAAAAACGGCCGACTCAATATTTTATCCAGAAAATGTTAACCAAGTCTGGAGATTTTGTTCTAGATTGTAATTTGATTTTAAAAAAAATCCATTGAGAATTAACTGACTAATTTATAATTTGGGTTAATTTTCTCACTTTTTCCCATTTTTTTAGTTATGACACTGACGTATAAATTATATATTACAACATTTTGACAAAATTCATAAAAAACGCAACAACCTGTTTCAAACGTAGCATCTAAGGGTATTGGGATAGTATCATAAGCATAATCATTATAGTAATAATCATCATAATAATATTCTCCCGGACCCGGAGGTTGCGCGGGGGTCGAACCCGGATCGGCGTTAGGATTTAAGGGAGACGCTCCATCGACAGGACTTAATGTTTTAACGTCAGCAGTAGTTTTGTCCGGGCTCGATTCGCCACTCACTCCTTCCTTTTTTTTGCGCTTCCGTTTACGTATGATTTTTTTGATGATCATCTCTCCTTAATGTATACGAATGATAGAACATAGATATGTTATAAAATTATTTTTTTTAAGTCATAAAACTTATAATAACTTTTGCAATGCAGTATTTTTTTTAGCATAATTTATTTTTAAATTGTAACATCTTTTTCAATTTTTTTTTAACCTGTTTCATCTTTGCGTAAAAGTATGAACCCGATGACTGCCAATATTAAAACTGTTGCTATCACAAAACCGCATATAATGATCACAGTTGACTTCGAACCTGCCTCAGGGTCCGCAACCTCTACATTTAATTATATAAATTTTAATAAATCACTCTTTTTAAATGTAGTCGAAAAATTATTAATAATAAAAAAATAAAGGCATTCAATACTACTTAACCCCTAGCTTCGCAATAGGGTGCAAACGGGCTTATCAATACACCTAAATTTATGTAAACAGATTACTTTCGAATATCACTATTTACCTGGGATGTTTAAACAAACTGCAATAAAATTTTCTGGCATGCCTGTTTAACTTTTACCAATGCCCTCTAACAACAGATAATTAAAATCGCAGAAGAATATTCTTATATTCAACTTATTAGCCTAGGAATTTTTAATTGAATAATTTTTCTATTGGGATAGTCAGAGGGGCCTCAAAATCTTGGCTTATGGGGATCTAAAGGGCTCTAATTTCTACTTGATATAATAAGCCATATGTCCTAGGCTGGGCAATAATATTTTCGTACCCGGAAACTTGAGAAAATAATTTCGGACGGAAAGTTCAAAATATTTTTACTTGCTCTTCGAATTAAACTTAGAATTACATTTATGTCATGTTTCTTCGTAAAATTTATTACCGAGAAACGTGTACAAAAATATTTTGCGGGCATTTTAGTCAAGAAAAATTTTTTACGAGTCGAGGCGTGTTGCTCTTATTTGAATTATATTTTAAAATAAGAACTGTAGGAAAAAAAATTTGAAGAATTATCATTATTTTATTTTATTTTTAAATATCAAAACACGATTAAACTTCCATCACGAGTATACGACCAGAATTAATGTTTGTTGGTAAAATGCTTAGGTAAAATATCAAAATAGTTAAACTTCCATCATGAATATACTACCGGAACTATTTTATAGAGAATGATTTTATAGAGAATGATTTTATAGAGAATGATTTTATAGAGAATGATTTTATAGAGAATGATTTTATAGAGAATGATTTTATAGAGAATGATTTTATAGAGAATGATTTTATAGAGAATGATTTTATAGAGAATGATTTTATAGAGAATGATTTTATAGAGAATGATTTTATAGAGAATGATTTTATAGAGAATGATTTTATAGAGAATGATTTTATAGAGAATGATTTTATAGAGAATGATTTTATAGAGAATAATTTTATAGTGAATGAACCAGTTGTTGACAAAATGTTCCAGTAACCTTATCGGATGTAATCATGTGCTGCATTAGAAAAGAGTTGGGTCACCCTAGCACTTTCGCGGGAATTTGTTTTATCCAACAGAGATAAATTGTCAATTATACAATTTATTTTTAGACACAAATCCTTTGTTTTGGTACTAAAAGCAGGCAACAAGAAAAGATTCAGAGTTTGAAAAAAATTATGTTTAAAATTGAACTAGTGTGCTTGACCTATGCCTTTAAAAATATAACAATGTGTTTAATAAGAACACTATTTTACTATAAACAAGCAATATATTAGATAAACATAAAAATAGAATTTTGACAAGTGGGACAACAGTGGTCGGGATAATTAGGTGATCATCTTTCGAGATTTAGCTGAGTTTATAGGCGGCCCGGGATTTTTTTAAGAAATAAGGACTTTTAGGTGCCCCCTTCCCGAAATTGTATTGGAAGGCTATAAACCTAATTTTATCAGGCCTTATAAGATAAAAAATTTTGCATTTATATTTGTTAAAAATTCTTATTTGTCTGAAAATTTTAAACTATCGGTTTTCCTTCTTTTTAAAAAAATTGTTTAGTTCAATTTTTGTGGAGATGAGAGAGGGGTAGGGATTTATTAGATTCAAAATACTTATAAAAATATTCAAATGGGAGGGGGTGGTGGCTGTCCCCTTAACTTACAAACACATAATGGCTGTATCGTATAATCAATATTTACTTAAGAGTTGCAAAGTTCGAAATTTGGCAAGTTTTCTTGGTCCGATGCCAACTTTATTTTGGCCGCTAACATAAACGACGTACAGCGTTAGAGGCATTAGTTCTTTTAGCTCTATATTTGACTATATTTTTGAAATAAAATAATTAAACCAAACCATATTAAGTTCTTATATATATATTATAAATTTCAAAAAAATATATATTAAATATTAATAATAATTTTGATAAGTGAGTGCGAATGAGCCATTTAAATTTATTCTAAAAAAAAATTAACTTTTTATCTATCAGTTACTAAAATTTGTAAGTTTATACAACATCGTCTCCTTTGATAATTCCTAAATAATAATAGCAAACAAAATCAAATGATGCTAGTGGCTTAATGCTAAAAAAATTTTTTTTACCCGTTCAACAGTTAAATTTATCCTTTCGTATTTTTCTAAATCTGTAGAATCAAATCCATATTGAACTATTACTTGATCTATATTTATGGTACTCTTAAAAGACCAGTCTACTTTAGCTGTAGTATCGCTGGCAACAGCTTCTACTGACCATACAGCTGGAGGGATTGATAATTCTTGTTTGATTTTTAAATATAAATATCATTAAAATAATATAAAATGATTTAATTAAATTCGATTCTCAACTTATAAATAAAAGCCTATTTCCCTAACGAAAAATAATTGTTTATTATTATAACTATCCTCTAGAAAAAATCTGTCAATATTTTATATCTAATTTTTCAATATCATAATATAATCATCTTAAATATAATTTAACAGGCTGGAAGTTTTTATAACCATTTCATAATTCGCTCATTATATTATTTAATAAACTTTTGATTTTTATGCTTCTAAATTCCACAAGAGTCTTTTTTGTTTTTTTACGTTTGATTTTTAATGTTTTTTTTGTATTTTTTAAATCGTTTTAGAACATTTAAAGATTAAATTTAATAAACACTATATATTAAAAAGATCTATTTCAAATTAATATATACTAAGAGATTAGTGAAGGCAGGAAAACTTTTTTAAAACTAAATAATTTATTTTTCTAAACTTTAGCGGAGCGTCAAAATCTTCTAAGTAAATTATATTAGCTTCAATGGTATTCTACTTTCCAAAGAGCTATCATAGACTCTTTATACTTTTTATTCATTGATATTTTAATTTACATTTAATTTCTCATTTTTAATACTTTATATTACCCTAGATATTTTGAATTTATTTATTTTACTATCGCAGGCAGGTTTCAATTCAATTGTTTCGATTGGTATTTTGACGACGTTTTTCAAATACTTAATTAGGGTGTTCTCTACATCTTGGGCCAAGGGGAGAACGTCAGCTTGAAAAAGCAATTTCATCATTACCTTTTCCATAGATCTGTAATTTAAGCAATCCATTATCAAGATATAACCTATATAAATTTAATGTTTACGTAATCGAACTTATGGATACCATCTGAGATTCTTTGAATTGACCTCGAAAGGAATTTATAAGCAGTGAATTAACCTTTTTTTTAAAAAAAATAAATATATTTTTATTTAAAAAATTTAAATTTTAAATTATTGAATACGGCCTGTGTGAAATTTTTCTCTAGTTCAAAATATTCCTTGGATAACGAATCCGTCATAAAGCCTGTAAAGTTTTGAATCCGAACTATCAATTGAACATCGCATACAGCATCCGCTATTTTCATAATTTATTTAGAATTTATATAAATTTTTAATTTAAAAAAAGGATATATATAATAAAATTAGTATATACCTTCCAAACAATCACTGCCTTTTGTATAAAACCTTTCAACACATTGACAAAACTCTTGGTCGACATTAAACTGTCTACAATATTTTTTAGGAGGGCATTGAGCACCTTTACAAAGCTCTTAAAATAAAAATTTATACAATAATAGAGTCATTAGTTATACATTGTACCCTACACAACAAAAGGCTGTTTATATTTCCTTTTACTTTATTTTGTTAGCTCTCTGTTTTTGACATATGTGCCATAAATAACTTGGTTGTAACAATTTAATCAAAAATAGATTTAAAACGAAATAAAAAAAACAAAATCTTTAGATTTATTCCAAGAAAAAAATATTCTTTCATAATTTCAAGTTATAAGTGAAGTTTGTAAATGTTAACGTGCTTAAATGTAACTAATCGCCGTAATTTTAAAGTAGCTAATTGCAGTTACATTTCAAAAGTATTTAGTTATGTTGAAAGTTACTTTTATAAATTATTGATATAACTCAGTATTTTTAACATAATCTTTTTGTCCGCATAATTATTTCTTTATTATAATATAAATGATCTAATGTCCTATGCTGTATTTATAATAAAATAATTTCGCGATTTACAAATTTTAATTAAAATAAATTTAAATAAAGCAAATAATTGCATTTAAAAAATATATTTGCATCGAAAATAAAAAGATATCAATAATATGTATTTTTCATAAAAATTTGGGTTTGGGCAATTTTTCAACAATAAACTATTTTTATAATTGGTGTCTAAAAACGTACCCCGAACAGACTCTTCCATAGGCAGGACCAGTTCGGCCCGCAGCCCATAAACCCATACCTGGCCCATCCTAATATTGCATTTTCTAATAGGCCTGGGTTTTAAAAAATTTTTTTTATTTGGCTTAGGCCTAAATTATTTATATTTAAATTTAGCTTATTTAAAACAGTTGACAACTCAAAAAAATATTGCAATTTTTTTCTTCTAATAATATAATAAATTCCAGTTTTGCAAATAAAATGATTGCTTACAAATATACTAAAATATTGTTTATCTTCATTAAATACAATAAAATAATTTTTTGCTATGAGCTTGGGAAAATATTTTGAAACTTATTGTGCGTCTGGGCCGGTCTTGGGAATTTTTTTCATATTAAATATTTCTCGGGCCGAGCTTGTGCCTAATTTTTACTGCAGGCCTGGGCCGGACCCGACCTCTGACTCCTAATACTAAACAAACTTTCTACAGGAGTACCTGATGTAAATTTATTATATTTAATAAATATTATTTTTTAAACTTGCAAAATCATTAAATAAAGATAGTTAAAATGCGATATATAAAAATATTCAACAAATTAATAAAAAGTAACTTGGAAAATAAATAGTTACTTTTGTCGTTACAATCCAAAAAGTTAGTTATTACTATTTGAATTGTTTTAAAAGTAACTATAACTTTAGATACTATAATTTAGTGTTAAGAATTATAACCCCCCCCCCTCCCCCCACCCCACTTAGCAAAAAAAATTATTGTAAAATTCTATTTATATACTACATCAAATAAAAGCCATTTTTTTACTAATATAGGGTTTAAAAAAATATATCGGGTAAATACACTTTGTATTTTTAAAAAAGTGTTAAAAGAATCATAAAAAATGGAAAACCTTATTATTATTCCTATATTTAGAAAGAATTTTATCCTCAAGTAAAAAAAAATTAAAAATAGTCATTTGTTTTAAGCAATGGGCCAATTGTATAATGTCAGGGGTGTTTTAAAAGATTTGCACGTTTAGCTAATTTTTAAAATTTATATCATTTATAACCATTTTATTTTATTTAATTTTGTAAGATCTAATTTATTTTCGGAAATCGAATTCCAAGCATGTATGGTACGCAAATATTCATGGGAGAAATAAAATACGATTCCGGCAAAAATCAGATTTTTTAAAATAAGAAAAAACGCGCGCTAGTCAAAAATTCCTAAAAAACCGCAGGGCAATAAAACATGGCCCTAATTTTGTAAACTCAACTCATACCAGTTAAGTACGAGATATTATACGAGATATTATACCTCTCTGAAAATTCTTATTAAATAGGAATTTTTGTCACAATTCAATGCAAGGATAACGAAAAAAGTGTGGGAATTATTAATTTAACTACAGAAATATTATACAGATAGGCAGTGACGTAAATATTTGTTACTTTGCAAATAAAAATTCCATTAATAATATTAGTTATTTATTTTTTAAGTAACACGATCCTCGTTATAATATTTAAAAAATGTCTCTTTATTTTACAAGCCCAAACAATGAGTAAAAGTGTTTGTGAAATAAAATTAACATAAATTTTGCATATAAGTGACCTAATACAGTTATTGACCTATGTTACATTGCGTAGCACTGCTGCTGGCGAGTTTTATGGCCATGACTCGACGTGGCATAAGGAAATTATGTTATAGTTATTAAGTAATATTTATCATATGTAAATGTTTAGTAAAAATTTATGCAGAAATGATATTCTATTCATTTAATTATTCTTATCACATTAAAAAGGGCAAATATATCCGTATAATTGTAATTTTTTAAAATATATATTTCAAGATCCACAAATAAAAGGTTTTAGAGAAATTTCTGCTTTAAGATTCCTTTGGATTTTGGAGTTGTATAGGTTGTTCAGAGATAATAGATCCAACTTTCAGAAATCGTACTATTAGATGATAAAAAAATCTTTTAAACAGTCAAAAAGAAACTTTAAAATTAAATATTCGTCAGGGGCTGCTGATAATCTTTATAGGATTATGCAAAAAATTTTTATAAGAAAAACATTTGTTAAAAAAATTTGTAAAACTAATTGTAAGTTTCTTATTTTCATTTTTAATTAACCGAATGAAATATATTGTGTAATATAAATTCATAGATAAATATTAAAATCATCAATTGCATCACCAGCCTTTACAATTAATCTCATGTGGTGTTCAATAAAACAAATTTAAATTTTTTAGGGGGAGGGGGGCTCTTCATTTTTAGGTAGCTCGAGCTCAGACATGCCCCTCCCCCTCTTTCCCTATTGACGATACTGATGATTCATTTAATGTCATTCTAAAAATAAAATACATAACTAGTCAAAATATGATAAATTTCCGTTATATGCTAATTTTATCTCCTAGGTTTTTTATGAAAATATTCCTACGATATCTGGATAAAATTTCTTTTTATTCAAGATTTAGGTCTGATGGATAATGGCCATGCATAATGAGTATACCTCACCGCACATAGACCTTTTATTGTACATAGGTTTTTGTCCAAGTAATAATTGATAGGCAGTCAACTATAAATTACTTCTCAATTTTTGTTCCTTAAATTGATCGATAAGAGTGACTTTATATTTGAAACTTTGAAATCATTTACCCTATTTTGAAAAATTTTAGTTTTACATGTAGAGCACTCCAATTCTGTAATCATATATTTAATAATTTATTTTTACTCATTGTTAACTTATTTAGAGATACCCCAAATATTAAACTTCAAAAAGATATTTGTTCCATATCAAGTTATTTATAAAGTCTGGCAAATTAATATCATCAATTGTCAGATTAAATAAGATATCCTCATTTAGAACTAGAACAGGTTTTATTTATTAATTTTCTTTTCTATCTTGACAATAGCTAATGTATTTGACTTTTTTGTAATAACGTAAAAAATTGGGAATAATTCATATTAAATTATCAATTTTGTTCACTTTTTAAAATTTTTTTTAGTAATAGGCATTCCGTCGCGCTCCGTCATTATAAACGACGGCCCGCCTCCTCAGTGCATTAAAATTAAAAAAAATAATAAAAATTTTTTTTAAATGTTTTTAATGTGGTCGAATACTTTGTTTTATCTCATTTTTTAAAAAGTCAAAATTCAGATTCTAGCCGATTTTTAAATACACCTAAATCCTGAATTCTGCCAAAAAACATTAGAGACGACTCGAGATTTGTATATATATGGCAAATATGTTTGCCCCTATTCTGGCCAAATCAATCACTATATTTATTTATCAAAAAAATATTAAATAATTCATATCTCAGTTTGTTACCTCTTTTCTGAAGAATATGTTGAGATAATTCGAACCTTTTAGCAGGACTCTGCAATTGAAGCATATTTGATACTATATGGAATAAGGTTAGTTTAAAAATTATCTGCGCGAATCGAATGCGTTTTATGAAGACCCAGGTATACCATGTCTTCGACATTAAAGCATCTGGCTTGTGGGTAGCAACTTACCGTTTATGTCTAATCATAGAAACTTTAAATAAAATTATAAAATGAATATAAGTTTTATAATTTAACTCTAAAACATTATTTAATGAAATAACTGCGGCAAATTAAAAAAAATATAAGCTAACAACAAAAATTTATGACGTTATAAAGAAGAAGAAAGGCGTAACAATAAAGAAAACGAAATATTATATTATATTTTAAAAAAAATAAACACGAATTAACTAATAATTCCTACAGAATATAATTGATGATTAAAATGGTTTAGAAGAACTGATGAAAATAAACCTTCTTTGAGTTTTCCTGACCGAATTTTTTTTATCAGCTATTATATGTTCTAGGTTTTCTCTCAAAATATTAAAAGTTGATCACTTAGATTATTATGGGATTAAAAAGTAAATTTTTATCTCAAAGGTCTATTGTTTTTATTTTAAAAAACTCAAAATTGTTTAAATTTTTTTAAGAGGGAGTTATCGGTGTTAAATCATTGAGGACTAAATACTTTTCTCTGCTACGGCAATAGCGGATAACTGTATATTGTATGATGCTAAATAAATATGCAGCTATAATCCAAAATTGGGAGGTGACCATTTAACGGTTAAAGCTAGCGATTATTAAAAATTAAAACATTATTACTATTTATATGGCTGGGGTGAATAGCTCTAGAAATTTCCATTGAAAGTTGTGAGGATAAACTTTAGGGTTAATAATAATATTATACAACTGGTACATTTAGATTGGATGATGATCTTATAAGTGGCTTTACTTAGACTTAAAGTACAATTGTTATTTTATAGGTATTACATTTACACTATTTTATTATAACTAATTCTTTTATAAGAATATTTTTCCTATTTATTTATAGGTTTTAAAGGATTTTAGGAATATTTTTAAAACGCGTAGGAAGAAAACTTTAAACGTAGGCATAATAAATACTAAAATTTATGTATTGTCAATTTATGTAAATATAGTATAAAAAATTCTTAAACAAAATTTTTCAAGCGGGGAAACAGGGATTTTGTTAAAAATTTATAAGTGGTAGATTTAAGGGACCCGTTTTGGGAATTACACGGACCACAAAAAAAGTTTCATTTAGTGAATTTTATTTATTTTTTGCTTAAATTTAGATTTGAATTGATTTCTTGGGTTTTATATGAATCAAAATTTTCGATTAATTAGAATATTCATATTTAGTTAGCATTGTGATCCTAAAGTTTGATAGTAAGTTCTGGTTAATTAATAGAACATGTTTTGAATAAATTTAAATGAAAACATGGCTGTAAATGATTTATGATTGTGTTCATTCTTTATTTTTGAATAAAATTTTTAATCGCTTTCCACGAATTTATTTTTATTTTCCCACGAGAGGAAAAGTTATATTAAAAAAAACCAGGTTCCCAGTCCCCCCCTCACACATAACTACTTTGTTAAGAACTTCTGGGCAACATAATAGACTCCAATTGAATGGAAGATGTATGATCATCAATTTGCGTAAAAATTTTAAATAGTTTATACTAAATGGAGAGGCAAATTATTATGGGAAGAAATAGATTTAGCTAGGTTTAATGAAAGTATGCGAGTTAAACAGAAAGATCTAAGATTTGCTAGAATCAACATGTTGAATGAATATTCTGCGCATATTGCACAAGTCATTAGTCATATATCATATATCATGAAATTAAGAATTGATTATCATAAACAATTAAAGAATAAATATGATAATGAACTGTTTGAAAATATTTCTAGAAGGTTAACAATTCGCGTTATTGATTTTTTATTTATGTTTTGCTTTAATATTTAATGATATAAGATTTTAATAAATGAATGACTTTCATTTAATCAATAAATTATATAGTCAAGGGGAGTACAATCAACAAAATTCCTCTCGCATTCAACAAGCTCCGCGATTAATCCCAGGATTTCCTCATCAGAATGCGGAGGAGAATCGAGTAAATAGAAGAAAAAGAAATATAAATATAAATGATAAACCACCCAATCCTAAACTTGTATTTAAAAGATGGGTAAAATTCCCTAAAAATGCTGGTATCAAAAGAATCATCAAAAGGAAAAAGCAGAAATATCGTCAAGCTGATAGAACTCGGAGTCAGAATAATAGAAATCGTTATGGATACCCGTCCAATGAAATGTGCATGCAATATATAATGCAACAAGGTAAAGTTTTTTTTAAATTATGATTTGCATTACATATAACAGATGGTAAATAATCATCCATATATATAATATATGCTAATAATATCTTTATTTTTTAAATAGCAGGAGTGTCTAATGCCTTGTTTATAGTATATGGTAAATGCAAAATACCCCGATGTGGCTCAAAGAATGCGTAATTATGGCTAAACTATAGCATAGCTGTATAATTTACATTAGGCCTCTATAATAGCAAGCGCGAATTACCACGATATCCCTTAAGCGCATGCATGTATAAATAACATGTATTTTGTAAATTACATACCATCTTAGCTACATAGTGGTATTCCACTCTAACTATGAATGAGGCCAGATTTGTTGTAAGTTAAGCATCATTTGAGCAACATCGATACGGTATTTAGTGGTTATTACGAATGAGGTCTAAGTACAGAGTTGATTGAAGCAATGCATCATGGTCGAGCCTTTGATTAAACTTTTTTTCCCCAAAAACAATTTGATATTAGACGGGGAGTACTCTGATAAAATCGTCCTCCACTTCTGACTGTAAATTTGTCCCTGTAGAAAAAAAATATTGACTTGAATTGTCTACTACCATAACACATATAAGCGAAGGTTAAGCCTTAATTATAATAAAAAGGAAAATAACATGATACCACTTACCAAAACATTACTGCATGCTAAAAAAAAGTTTCCATATAAGAAAATATTTTAGCGCTAGCTCAAAAGATTAGGGCTTCTGAGCTTAACCTCCTGGCGCCATTGTAAAAATTATATTTTAGTTCTAGTTTAAAATTATTACTAGTTTCTGATTATATATTCTTTTCATTTTGATATACCTTTACAATATGCATATTCTGAATTTTTATAGAGGGGGGGGGGTGAAGCACTATTAGACGCATCATAAATTTTATTGGAGGTCATTACTTCCACTTATTATAGACCTTTTGCTATATTAAATTTTTATACAAATAATTTTAGATGGCTTCTTTGAAACTTAACCTAAACCCTTTTAGTATAAAATTAGTATAAAATAAGATAAAATTAAAAGAATTATTCTAACTTTTCTGTCTTGTGCCTCTTTATTTTTTTAATCAAAATTTTTGTTGTTAAAATTAAGTAAATAGATCAAATAAAATCATACCAGAAAAAAGAATAAGAATACTATTACTATTATCGCATGATTATTAATGAGGTTAAGCACTATCACTAATTTTATTAAAAGATATTAGTAGGGGGGAATCCTGACACAGTGAATAGTAAAAATATCAGCAGACTAATCAATAAAGCTTTATATATCAGAATATACCTAGCTTTAGAGTTTATCACTTTTAAAACTATCATACATAAATTTTTTACTCTAAAAACTAGAGTAAAAAATATATATCTAAATAAAAAATATATCTCTAAATAAAAAATAATAATACACCCCTCTTACTAGTAATACTATTCATACAGATATACCAATAGAAGAATATACTATTACTAATATAAAACTTCTTATAAAAACTGGTGTTAGGGATCTAATTAATGCTATTAGGATAAGACAATACATAATTGGTTTGTCTCGAGATAAAAAATAAGAGTCTGGCAGTTCTTTGTACCAAATAGAATAAATATTATAATTAATTTATGCAAAGTGGATAATGATACAAAGAACCCTCTTATTTTTAACCTTGGACAAACCAATTATAACTTTTGCTAATTTTTCTTATAAATTTTTGCTTATAGTTATATATTCTATAGATTTTTGAAAAAAGAGCGAGATGGAGAGAGGGGGGAGTATAGGGATAAATTTTTTATTAGCTTAAAATGATATTTATTAAAAGAGACAAATTTGCTATGGGGGTATATTTCCCTCCCCACCTTGGTTACCTCTACTCCTAACCAAATCTGGTATATTTTTAGACGATTTTATCAAAATTTATTTTAAAATGGTTTGTTAACCAACATGACTTTGTTCAGTTGAACTTACTTTTCTTTTTAAAAATTATAATACCATATAACAAACTATATACATGCTAATAATTATTATAAAATTTTAAGATAAAGAAAATTTGGATCAAGTAGATTTCAAGATTTCAGAAGATCAATATGAAAATTTAAAATCTGCTATAGGATTTCTAAAGAAATCTGATGTTAATATTACCGAGGCAATAAGCAAAATGCAAAATTTAATGATAAAATTTTAAACCGATAAAGCTTTATACTATTTTATTTAGCATGCTTAACATAGATATCATATTTTTTTATATGTATATTAATTATGATTATTTTTATATTATAATGACTTATTATTCTAAGGCATTTTTCATTTACTTTTTTCTAATATCCTCTCTCTGGTTCTAGTTTTAACCTCCTCGAATGTTTTCTAATCACATTGGCTCATAAGCCTCTTTTCGCTTTCCCGCCATTTTTTTTGCAGTAAGACTGCTTTTCATGTGCAAAACAAGATTTATATGCCCCTCAAGATGTTCTTTGATATTTGAAAATTTAAATTTTCATTTATGTTATCCATTCTTTGGAGTGTAATATATGCATCTAAGGTAGTGCTAAATATTTTATAAAATATTTTACGCAAGCCTGAAGATTTTCTTATATATAACTCAAAGGTTCAGGCATCTATTATCGAAATCTCGATGCGAAGGCAGTATTTTTTAGGTTAAAATATTGAGTTAGCCGTTTTTAAAAATCAGTTCAAATTGAATCGTTTAACAACACTACATCTAGGCATCCTCATTTCCATCATTCAAGGCCATTCTCTCACCTTTAACCTTTGAGGCAGAGCCCTAGCGCAAACCACAAAAGACAAGAATCCTTGTAGGCCCTTCCCATAATTCAAATTTTATTGAGAAAAATTTTATGCAAGTCTAAAGATTATGCTCATAGATATCACAGATGTTTGGGCATTTATGCGAAATCTCGGTGT